TATAAAATAATTAATTTGAAATCTTTTATATATATATATATATATATATAATAATTAATTTGAAATCTTTTAATTAATATATGAAGCAAAACAAATAACCCAAAACTAATGTCAACCTCAAATTTTAGTAATGATGAGAATTCGTCATGCAGAACTACTTCGACCCTCTTTTGAGGTGGAAAAACTTTTCCAAACGAAGACACGTATTTACTTTCGTAATATACGTACGTTAGAAAGAAGCATTAAGATTTAAAACAAATATATTTCCAATTAACGTCCCTAACTATTTGCATGTTATGATCGTTGTCATTGATCAATTAAATCCAAGTAGAAGACCAAACTTTCGTTTTCATCAAATTACTAATTTCTTTGTTGAAAACCAATTAAATCAACTCCAACTTTCGTTAGAATCAAAATGGATTAAAACCTCATATCCATTTTAAGAAAATTGATCAATACCAAAACCTTGATCCTAAGCGAGGATTACCCAATAAAATGAACACTAAACCGAAACCAAACGACAAGTTATTTATTTAGACTCCAACAAAGTTAAACAAGATAACGACATTAGTTGCAAATTTTGACGATTAACATTTAACATAAACTAAGGATGGACAATGAATAATCAAGTGAACATATGCAAAAAATTAAACTAAGGGGCCGTTTACCCAATTGCTTACCCGGTAAGCGCTTACCGATAGGAGTCAACACTATGATTTATTTTGATGCGTAAGATTTTAGTATACCAAAACATATCGAATGCAACAATTTAGAGCATTAAGCGCTTACATGGGTAAGAGTCGTCATCCTCACTTACTGGGTAAGACTCTCCATCATACACATCGCTCTTACCCGGTAAGATTCTTGACCCTTCTCATGTTCATCCGATGATGAAATTTATCCAGTAAGTACTTACCAAATAAGTACTTACCATGTAAGTGTTTAGTAAACGGCGCCTAGGTGCGGAATATTGATGAAGCTAACCTAATGTGTAGAAATTAACGTACAAAAACATGATAATATTCGAACAAAATGAAATATAAAACATAACAATGAAGGAAAGTGCAGTGAGTAGAGGTGCATCAAACATAACAATGAAGCAACAAGAGGAAAGTGCAGAAATTTAAACTTGATCCAAACCAACAAGAATATAAAAGGATTGAAGGAGAAAACTCAAAGAACGATTCATTCAATAATAATATTCGAACAAAATGAAATATAATCAAATATACTAAGGGGATAGGGAAGAAGACATTCAATAACGTAGCAAAACCGAGTGTAAATTGATCTCTAATGGCATAACGATCTTCTTCCTAAAAGCCTTGTAAAAGTCGACCAAAAGAAAATTTCAAATTGAATGTATCGTGTTCTAAGAAAAATAGAATGGCTTAAGGAAAGCAAACCTAAAAGGAGATCAAATAGGTAAGTCAAAAAGCCCAAAGAAACAAGTCCAGACGACTTTCATGATCATGAAGAATTCTTCACGTCCGTGAAAGTGCAGCAGAAAAATTAAAGGTGTTCCTGGAGTGGTTCTTGATGCCCATGAAGTCGTGGCATAAACGTTTAACAACTTTAAGGAGTTTTCTTCATGCCAGCGAAGCAGACTTTCACATCCATGAATCATGGGCAGCAACTATATCCTTCTGATTTCATCTCTTTCAGTGGCTTCTCTCTTTCCAGTTCTGAAGTAAATTCCTTTTTTAAGTATATAATATTTATATACTATAAATAGAATAAATAAACTTACACACCCTCCTCACCTTTGGTGAAGTTTGAACTATTGCCCTCCTAGGAGACTAATGACTCACATACGGCTAGCTCAAAGACCCTTTGATGTAGTAAATTCTTGTTTGCACCTACTTTCTTAAATCAAAGTTCTTAAACATTTGGTTACAATCTTTTACATTTAGTGTTCCTTCTTCCTTTTAACTCCCTTTTATTACTTTGACCTTTACATTTCCAGCATTGCATTCTTGATCACTTTAGTTTATGTATTTTTACTCTCTGTCAAATATATTTTCAAACAATTTACTTTCAGTCATTTATATTCCTATAGCATTCACATTCAACATATTGTTGCTTGCATGCCAAGTTTTCTTTCTCCTCTTTAATTTACGCAATTTACTTTCAATCATTTACATTTTAGTTCTTACATCTTTCGTAAGAAGAATTTGAGCCATGATATTGCCTTAGCTTGGGGTGTAAAGTGAAGTTAAGACCGAAACCAATGTAAACGTAAAGAGATGCTTCCAATATAGCATTTTATTTTAACTATTCATTCAGGTTAATCGTATTTCATTGAAAATTACATACAATTAGTTGACAACTAATTATATGTATGAAAAAATAAAAACATGTTCTGATATGCGAAGGCTATAAAGAGCTTTAGTACGTGACAAGCGCTACACTCCTACGATGTAGGATGGTAATACTATGGATTCATGGTGTTTAATGTAAATGATATCGTATCGGGAGCAGTGGGCCTATATGAAAATACTAAGAGGTCGTCTGAACCGATAGTTGGATAACTGTGACAATCAACCAAAAAAACCCGAAAAATCCCTTGAAATCGACAAAGGAAACTTAAAAATCCCTCAAAATCAACAAAACAAACTTTAAAAATAGAAAAGGTATACTTAGGCAAAATACACATCGGGAGAATCGTGGGCCTTCAATCTACCTTAAAGATACCTCCATTACACAAAAATCTTGAATCTGTCACTGCCAAGGAAATTCTTTAGTTTTAGGTGTTGAAATGGTCTGAGCCTTCGAGTATTTATACCCTTTTCATCTTGACTGTCGTTTTCAATCATATTACCTTCAACCTTTTTCCAGGTGTTTTAACGCATATCTTCATTATTGTTGGTCGTCGGCTATGATATGGATATTAATTGAGAAATGCATTGATAAAATCTCCTTTATTGCACCCGTTAATGAACGGTTACTTATCTATATTATATTATAAATCATTTGACAAAACTCTTAAAACTCATTTTTTTTATGCATTAAGTGTTGTTTGTTGATACACATTAATTAGAATTTAAGATTACAAGTAAATTGTACGTGTGTACAACTTATCAAAGCTCCTTATTTGAATTCATGTAACTAACCGCAGATAAGCATAATCAAATACTGGATAGGTATCTCATCTTACATATAAAAACTCTAAAATATATTTAAGATGATTATTGAATTCTAACAAGATACTAATTATTATCTTTATAAAAAAATTATATTATTAAATTAAAAATAAATGACTTCATTATTAAATCTAAATTAAATTATAATAAAAATTGAATTAAAGAAATTACACAAAAAAAGAGACATTTTAAATATTTAATTTGATACTAAAATCGATACATTTTTTTCAAAATTTTATACTACCTTCAAATTTATATTTTATTCAAAAAAATAAAAACATTATCGTTTTTTCAGTACCACATAAAATCGTATTATAACGTGGACGGAGACAGAATAAAAAGAAATTTAAAATTCAAGATGTATCTCGTTGCATTACGCGAATACCTTCTAGTTACATTCAAATAAAGCACTAACCTTTGTCGTCGTTAACATCTTTTGGTTTTAAAATTTCTTACGATTATCATAAGTCTTTTCGTCTTCATAAATTGGTCATGAGCGAGAAATTTAAACCAAACAGAAACCAGTACTCGGGACGTTGAGATCATTTATAGGCGATTAACTGTATGACTCCATACTTGAAAACAACACTGAGTGATTTATCACCATACACTAGAAAAACACACTCTGCATACAACATAATAAAGCTCTCATCACACAGATATTTTCATGATACTACATACAACAGCATGCATTATTTACTACAGTTTTATGACTTGGGTGTTGGTTTAAATCTCTCCATTCAAAGTCGAACTAACCATACAAACTCCACAAGAAGTTACACACAAAAACCACCGAGTGTGTTCTCTGGTCTCCGACTCTCTCAACGAGGAGCATACGAGTCAAAGATGTTAAACCCGCATTATAACCCGACCCAATAGCTTGATTTCTCAATATCTATGCAACGATTGATTAATCGACCAACGAAACATGGAAGAAAGAAAGTAGGATTGTTGAACTCATTAAGCCATATACAAACAGCCCCATGATGGTAAAAGAACAGACAGGTCCTTAAGCTTTTCTGAATAAATATAAAACATTACAATTATAACATAAAATGAGAAAATGAAAATCCTTGTAATTATATTGAAGTGTACAAATATGAACACAATTTTCTATCATCTAAATTGATCACCCCTTTAAATTATTCACATTGTACAGGATCTGTATGGTATTCCATTAACTTATAAATTAGCCTTATCAATAAACTGGAGAGCATCAGCTACAGCTTGTGTAATAAATTCGACTGTAGTCCCAAAAAAGAGTTCCCAGAACCACAGATCCAATGCAAGAACGGATGAAAATATGAGTAATGCCAGAGTTTGATACCTATTCAATGGCCAGCCTGAAACTTCTGCCAGCTTCTTTAAGAAAGGTAGAGAATTGCTGGCTAGATTTCGGTTCTTGATTGACCAAGCGGTTACCCATTGAACCCGAGAAGGGGCAAGGTCAAATTCATCTTTTAACCTCCTTCCCAAGTCCGGCATGTGCCCACCACCATACAGTATGGCAATCTTGTTATGCCCCTTGTTGATTGCTCTTTCCAGAGCTTCTGTTGCAGCCCTGTTTCGCTCACCTATGATTACTGATTTCTCCTCTACATCCGTTGTTACTTGTGTGAAACTGAAAATAAAGATCAACACCAGTCAATACAACATATTTCATAATTCCTTTTTAGGGATGTCTCGTGAAACTTGCAACATTACTTTTGGGGGAAGTTCTATAGGTTAATCACCTATTTGCCCATCATCATCGTTACAAAGATATTGATGGTACTGGGTTTTAAGGTCCTCTAGATTCTTCCCTTTTGTCTCTATTGAATGACATGTTAGTTGTTTGGCTAGTAAAGTAAGAGCATCCACAGTAGAGGTTCTTCAGCAGGTTCTTATAAGAACCAGGTACTTGTCTCGATTCTTGTTTTGTTTTTGTTTTTGTTTTTGTTTTTACTAATATGCTGTATTTTAAGTGGTACATATTCAATGGGGCAGAGTACTAAAAAGAAACTACACTTGCTTGGATGTCACCTGTGTGATATTGAACATAAAAATCCCACTGGTCAAAAGAAACCAGACTTCCAAATGATGCAAGATTTCCTTTTTCGTGATGCTTCCCGACACTCATAGCATTTCCTTTCTAGGGAATATGAAAGATAGAAGTACCTATTTTGATGGTATTGATTTGGGTTCTCAAGATTCTTTCTTTTTGTTGCTATGGAAGGATATTTCAAGTATTTGTATAGTAGTCACCATTAACACTAGTAGAGAGTCAAATGTTGCAATTCAATGGGACATTGTACAACTAGGAAAATAGACTTACTCAGATGTTAGTCTTTTTGCCAAAAAGACCTTCATTGCAGCACCAAAATCAAGCCTCGATAAGGCCTCTATTTCTGGATAATCAGCTGACTCATTACCCACATCGGCACAAAGGCTGCTGATGAAAAAAAGACCAACAAGAGGCATGGGTAGCACACGGGAGGCCCATAATAGTTTAGATCTCCATGGACCAAGTTCTTCAGGGATTGAAGTGGCTTGTACCAAGGCTTTCGTAGATCTCAAAGTCATATCTCTGGCAAACGTAAAAAAACTCTCTCCTTTCTCAAGCTGTATTAGATGAGAAAACGAGTACGTTTAGTTTTCTGCTAGTAGAACCTATTGAGAAGTGTCAAGCACCACTTTCATAAGGATTTACGAACAATCATCTTCAGGAATTAGAGATGTTACTCTTGATTGTAACCAAATCTCTAAAAACACGATCAAATAAAGAACTTGATGATTAATTTAAGTTAGCAGAAAGTGGAAGAGGATAGCACCTGAAGTAACTTGAAGGTTTCAAAGTCGAGATCAGCATGGTACCAATTATCAGGCTCGTAATCAAGACAGTCTAATTGGAAATCAAGCATGAGAACTCTAGCCATCTGGCGTTGAATAAACCCAATGATATTAAAACCCCGGGCCTGTGATTTTGCTAGTTTTCTAACTGCTAAAGGGTATCTTCGGTTTTCTAAACTTTCCCTGCTAGCCACCATTTCATAAAGCACGCAATCGTAGGACTCGAGTTCCTTTTGCAGGGTTGCAAAGTACCTGTTCATGGCATTCGAACATATCAACTAACATATCTAGCTTGTTTTAGCATTTATGCTTGTATGTTAGTCGTTTAAAACAAGTGTCATCTATGACCATTCAAAATAATAATCACTTCATATAGATTTATGTGACTGTCCATCCACCATATATTTGAGGTTCTTGTTAGAACATTCAAAGCATCTGACAACAACGTTTTATCATCAAATCACATTCCAACTAAAATACTTCTTATCACAACAAAAGTAGTTATCGACTCAATTTCTTTGCACCTTTCTTTTCAAACTGCAGTTCTCTATATCCACAATAAATGGAAGGATTTTCCATTGAAGACACAAAACAGAATCAAAAACTTGTCATCCACGTTTGGTGCAGCATTAGACTTGGACAGGACTGAGTGGGACAAAAATGCATTACAAGGTGCAAGCTACACACCATGATCAACAGGAATTTGAAAGCCTTTTGACTTCATTGTTCTAGCATATATCAAGGCATTCTACTATTTGTTTGTTCCTCTTTCTAACAATTCACAAGTTCCTTATACAGATACTTTTCCCATCAAAATCATCTACAACATCAACTTTGGTTGCCTTAAAAACTGCCAATGAATTTCACAGGGTCAATACTAAGTTATCATCAAGTTCATCTTCATCTTAACCACCAAAGCTATGATGCATCCGGCTAACAGATAAAGAATAACATCTATGAGGAATATAACAATAAATTTTGATGTCTGGTGAACATGAAACATGATACAGTTAGTCAACGTCTGATCAGAACTTCACATTCAAGTTCGATCAAATTATGATTTCTATTTGGATGTAGTAACTAAACTTACTCTTTGTCTGCAATGTGGATAGTCGAAACCAAGTCGACCTACAAAATAAAAAACAAAACTCACAATAAAATAAACCAAATCCTTAACTAAAGTTGGATGGATATGAAATGAATTGAAACAATAACCTGAAGAAAGGGTTGGAGAAGAGACCAAGGGAACTTTTTCCGGTAACTAACAACGGCGGTTTGCAATTCGCCGGAATCCCCTTTCTTGAACCTCATGTAATCTGCAATGGAATTATTCTGTAGGAATCGGTCCGGGGATCCATTGTCTTCTTCGATGGGTAAAGATTGCTTTATGGACATAGGGCAACATCTAAACACATGATTGGATGAAAATTTAGGGATTTTGCGCCTAAAATTGTAAAAATAAGGCGAATCAGATGTTGAAGATGATGGTATGGAGAGATAAGTGGCAGAGACCATAGCTCCTCCTTCTCTCTCTCTCTCTCTCTTCCTGATTGTAGAGTGATAAATAACGACGATATTTTCAGTTGCTTTGCTCCACCGTTTCTGGAAAATATGAAATAAAATCTAGTTTTCAACGCCGTTTGGACTCTTATCTCATATTAAATATTACTGACAATTACGGATTTGGTCCCTATCATTTTTCATTTGTTTTAGAATTGGTTTTTCTATCTTTATTTATTACAAAAAGCCCCTCCATCTATACAGTTTATGTTGGATTTGGTTTCTGAAGCTAACGGACATCCAACTTATCCGTTAAGTATGAGGATAAACTGGTCTTTTTAGTTTTTCCTCTATTTTATCATTTTTCAAACCATACAGACCTGGGCTTTACTCTAAAATTAGAAGGGTACTCGTACAATGTAGCGAGATACATTTTGATTTTAATGTTTTTTTATCTTAGTCGATGTTATAATACGGTTTTATGTGGTTTTGAGAAAGAGATAATGTTTTTATTTTTGAATAAAATATAAATACGAAGATATCATAAAAAATATTGATATTAGAATCAAACTAACTATTTAAAATTTCTCGTTTTTTGTGTATTTTTTTAATTTATTTTTTTATTTAATAATATATTTTTATAAAGATAATAATTAAGTATTTTATTTGAACTCAATGATTATCCTAATTATATTTTAGTTTTTTTATATTTAAAATAAAATGTTTATCCTCTATTTGATTATGTTTATCTGAAGTTAGTTACACGAATTCAAACATGAAGTTTTAATAAGTTGTACTTACGCACAATTTACTTGTAATCTTGAATTTAAGTAATATGCATAAATAAACAGTATTTCATGCATAAAAATGGTTTTTAAGAGTTGTTGTCAAATACTTTATAATATAGTATAGATATATTATATTTATATTTTATAATTTATGTATTTATATTATATATTTATATATTCTATATTTAAAATTTATAAAATTATATTTGACATTTTAAGAGTGGATTCAAATTAAAACTCATTTTTCATTGTGAATATGAGGACAAATATTAGTGATCGATTAAAATCTAAAAAATTAATTAATGATTAAAACATAAAAAGTTAATTAAGAAGTGATTATGAACAAAAATAAAAGTTATGATTTATGCTACCATGTTTGACTTTTTATTTTTTGTTTTAATAGAAAAAACTTTTACCCCCTTAATTTTTAAATAAACTGCCTTAAAAATAATTAATATTTTAATCAAATAAATTACATCAAAAAATCGAGCATTTCATTCTCTTCGATTTGACATCTATCTCAAGGTAGTTTTTTATGTTGTAATGTTTTTTACGTCAAACGGTATATCTGTGTAATATTCATTATGAATATTTATGCGCATTCATATGTTTACAGCAACTCGTTAATATTCATACATTAGTATGATGTTCATCATGAATATACAACTTATTATAACATTCATCATGAAGAGTTGTGTATTTTCAACAACTCTCTAATATTTATATTAGTATGATATTTATCATAAATATTAATTTTCATCATAATATTCAGTATGCATATACATATTATTCATCATGAATATACTATAGTTTCAACTTTATATACTTTAGTTTTTCTTTCTTTTTATTTATTGGGTTATCGATTGATCTGGACGAGTTTCCTATTTGTCTTGATAGATTTCCCGATTCATCTCGATAAAAGTTAAAAGTGATAGGTTATAGTTTGACATAAAAAAACATACACCAAGTCAATGGATAGGTTCTTGATTAGTTGATAACTCAATTTGTGAGAGTTATTTGTTGTTCAATACTCTCATTTTATGTGTGTTATGTATCCATTTTGCTCTTATCTTGTATTTTTTGTCCAAAATATTTTAAGAGGTGATGAAAGGTCAGGAATTTGATTATTTTTTGAAAAACCGTTGCTGTTGGTAAACTGCCTACTATTTGCTCACATTTTGCCTACTTCATATTTTCCTCAAAGTGGATTTGGACAAGATTTAAGTACTAGCTCTCCTAGGTATTTAAGTGAATTAATTCTGAAGTTAGATCCGAAAATCTTGAATTATTTGGAAGAATGGGTCTGGTTGAATTAAAAAATGTCTTAAAGTAACTCTAACTTTATTTTAATGAAAAAACCTTCTTTACTTTTTCCTTATTTTAAGGGTTAGGTAACTTTTCATTTTTCATCCTTTCAAAAAAGGTGACAAGGCCAGAAAATTAGACAAGAAGTGATGGGAGGTCCTTACCCTCTAGTCAAGAAGACTTTCTTCCTTTGAACGAAAAGAATGTCCGGTTCTCATTTTTTCCCTATAAATTAAGGCATTCTTTCACTTGGAAGACATCAACTTTGAAGCATTTACTCTCAACTGAAGTCTGGAGCAGTATAGCAAGGTTAGTTTCTGCATTTAATTTTATTTTCGTATTTAGCTTTTAAATCTCGTTAATGTGCCTTGTATACCCCCTGTGGGCAACAGTTTTAGTAAAATTTCATTTCAAGTATTTCTTATGCATTTCTTTTTTTCTTTTTCTTCTATGTTTTATAATTTTATTATGAGCTAATCATCCCTTTGGGTGTGGGTATGAGTCAAACTTAAGAATTTGAAGGCATACTTGGGTGTTGCCATTTTTATTAATTCTTAAGCTTGGTCATTTAAGTCGGGACTTAAGCTCAACGCAGATAAGCTAATCACTTTGAAGTGTTAATATTAGATCATTGATCCAGAGATGGGCGGATCTGAAATACGGCTTAAATGATGCACAAAGATTTGAGAGAGTCTTTGATAATCACGTAGAGATACGGATTCTACATGTTTTTAACTAATGTTCAGATATTAGTCGAGTTTATACTACAAAGAGATTTGAGTATAAATCTTCAGGCTAGTGGAACTAGATATCTTTTTATTTATTAGCTTATTCGGCAAGTTTAACATTGATAAAACTGGACGCTTTGTGAGCACTCTGTGGGCACAGTATATAAGAATTTACTTTCGAGATATTGGAGTTTTTATAGAAGTCCCATGAGTTTCTGACCATACTGTTCCTGCAATCTTCTTAAGGGAAACTTACACCCATACCCATCTTTTAATTTTAAAGTTTTATTTCGTATTTTAAAGCTTTGCACAATCAAAACTCAACTTTTATTCTCAAACTGAAGAATGCTCAAGAAGTTCATGAAACTTTCTGATTCTCAGTAAGTCCAGTCCCTATGGAAACGATCATGGTACTATATCACTTTATTACTTGAAGCGATCATAATGTCGGCGTGCACTTGCACCGCCACTGTGGGGACTTTGTGCCCACTATACGAACACTTACAATTCTAGCACATCATTAGTCATGATTGGTGTCGATCTATCCCAATGGGTTGTCGATCGATCTTGATATGTTTTTGATTGGTTTTGATGGGTTCTCGATCCTTCTCGATAAAAGATTAAAATAATAATCTCTAGTTTTACCCACAAACAAATAATAAATCAATTGATACGTTCTCGATGGAAAATGAAGATGGTAGGTTATAGTTTAACACATATAAACACATACCAAGTCAATGAATGAATTCTCGACCATTCTCGATCGGTCTCGATATGTTCTCGCTCGGTCTTGATGAGTTCTCGATCGGTCTCGATGGGTGGTGGATTACGGTGATGAAGAATGTGGTGCTTTACGACGTTGAAGAAAATGAAGAAGGTGATGTCGAGTTACGAACTAACAGTGTCGAGCTATTGTACTCATTTGAACGCACATAAATATTTATAATGAATATAACACATATATATCATTTTACGTAAAAAGATAAAACAAAAAAAAACTATGTCTAGATGAATGTCATATCGTAGAGCACTTGTTTTTCTGATGTAATTTGTTAATTAAAATATTAGTAATTTTTAACATAATTTATTTTAAACTTCTAAGGATGTAAAAAAGTTTAATTAAAAAATGAAATAAAAAGTCAAAAAAAAGTAGGCGTGGATCAAAATAAAATGTCTTTTTTATTCTTAATCACCTTAATTAATAATTTTAATTAGGAACTATATTTAATGTGAGTTGTTACATCAAATAAAATAAAAGGTCCATATCAGTCCTTACGTTTATAATAATATTGAGTTTGCATTTAAACTAATATATTTGTATTTTATATATTAATATATATATTTTAAATTATATTTAGTTTATATTCGCTATACATATTTATATTTTATA